TGGTGCGTTCTGGGCCCTTCATTTTGGGCCCCCCCCCCCCCCACACACACTCTCTTTTCTCTTTTTTGAGAAGGGTGTTGAAAAATGTCAGCTAAAGCCTTTGCTGTGTGTTCTCCAGACTGGTCCCTGGAGCAACTGTGGTGAAAGGCCTTAACACGCTGTCTGCCTGGGCTCTGCAGAATGGTCTTCTGACAGGAAAACAGGTGAGTTGGGAGAGAGGGAAAAAAAAACAAAAACTATTTCAAAGGTATGAGCTGAATGGCGGAAAACAAGAGGCGGCATGCTGGAACACAGCGGCGCAGTTGGTATTGTAAAGGGGAGGGAGCGGAAGGTCAATTCCATTCGATTCGTTAGCAGCAAGTCCTTGAAACATATTAGAACATGACAATAAATGGTCGGTGTGTTTCAGTGCAATCTGTTTTCATCAAGCCCAAAATTCCGCCAGTAGGAAGAAAACGCTGGATGGATGCAATGCCTTATTGATTCCGTCTATGCTGGTGCACGTTATTGATTTTTTTCCCCATGTTTCCGTATCAATGCGAGAGAAAACGAGGGCAGAACTTGTAAAAACACACAAGTCAACACACTTTATGATGTTACAAAGTTGAAAGACCAGTGTTTATTGCAGCTTCCACTTCGCAGCTACAAAGGGAAACACAAACATGTGGGAACCTCTGGAGACCAAACCTGAATCTGCCTCAAATCCTCTGCAACACAAACAAGCCGCATGCGCGCACACACACACACACACACACATCCACGAATATCTCGTCACGTGCCGGTATCCCTGCAGTGCTCCATTTTCTTTCAAAAAATGTGAACAGCAGTATCCCTCCACCAGTACATGTGGAATTATACTTAGCGGTGGACGAGTCAATTCTGGAATGTGCATAATAATTTCCAATTCAATTTTTTGGATGGCAAAAGAAATAATCTCTTCCAGACTCTCACTGTTGCCATTCTAAAACCGTCATTGACTGGCCAGGCAATGTTTTAAGCAGCTTTTTAACATTCCTAATGACCACACACTTGGAAAAGTGAGATCAACATTTAATAAAGGCAAAATAAAGTCAAACTAATGTTAAAAACAATATACTCATATCATCATTGTTTTTGTGATATTCGCAGTGATAAGTGCCCGAGAGGTGAGTCTCCTCACGTAATTTTTTTTTTTTCGTGCCTAGCACAAGTCTAGTGCAAAATGTGGTCTAACTGTGCATATGGTTGGAGTTTTCTTTCTTTTTGTCTTTTTCGTAGACGAGCGCAGGTAGAAAAGGACATGTGCGCCATTGTGGGGGTGAGCACAGCGGACTTTTTTCCTGGCCGATGTAAACGGCTTGAACAGATGCGTGCACTCAGTCTTTGACAGAAATAGGCTTACTGGAGCCCAAGCAGAAGATCAAAATGCGCAAAGTACGTTTAGCGATGCGCACTGTTGTCGTATTTATGGATAAACATACCGAGGCATCCACCGCACAGAACTCAGAATCTGTCTGCCTGTACCTCGTACAAATCCACGTAAATCGCGTTCAGAAAACTGCTCTGAGCTGGTCTAAGGTCTAGTCTACTTTCAGCCACCAAATCGTTAGGTGCTCCGGGGGCAGTGGCCCTTGCCAAATTACCAAACACGCTAAACTAGACAAAAATCAAAATGCACTCATTTTCATGACGAGCGCACCTGCATTTTTCTATCAAGCCCAATGTCTCTTTTGCCATATTGTACCAAGCAGCCTGGACAGAAACATGTAAGTCACAGTAAATTCAATTTCCGTTTCTCTTGTTATAATCGCACTTTTCCATCACAAGCAAACACAAATCAATAAAGAAGCAGCCAAACACACTCGATGCTCAAGGGTGGAGATATGCTCAGGTCTCATGGGATATTGTCACACGTCACTTGTGTTACGTCTGCTTTGATATTCGAGGCATCTTCTTCCACAAGTTTTCATCAAATTCAAACGTGCCACTGAGATAGCATTGACACGTCGTGATTTCAGTGTACCAGAACGTCTGAAAAACAAGCTTGCCTATCTCTTCGTATATACAGTACATGGACAAGTGAGGAAGGATTTTTATTGCGATGACCACAGGTGCATTTTCACTCATTCCTTTATTGTCTCCGCATTTAAGCCGTCACAGCAGTGATCGTGGCAAACACACACACTGTTGTGACTATAAACGGGAGCAGGGGGACAGCTTAGGTGGCAGCCAGGGAGCAGCTCGGTGTTTCAGTGTCTTGCTCAAGGACACAATAAAGCTGTGTCTTGGAGGCGCATGCGGTGATCCATATCACTTGACCACAGCTGATAATAACACTTTTTTTTTTTTTTAGTTGACTTGATGTCCTAGCAGGAAGAACATTGGTGAGATCATCCATCACTAGTTGGGAAGGGTGGCCTCTGGACTATCGTTTTATGTTGGAAGAATCTCTGACTGCTTTGAATTCCTCTTCCAAAGCCAGTTTCTTTATCAGTATTTCCCATGGCACATATTTAATATGACTTGAGAGCACACCACCAAACAAAAAAAATGTCACAAAAAGTACACATACTGAAATGATCATGATCTCGGATTCATTTACTCACAGATTTACTTGTACAGTTTGAATTGTAGGCCTGTTTAGTTTAACACAAATCTTACCGGGATATATTCAGGGGGTCCCTTGACTTCTGTTTTATGAATGGCAACAAGTAGATATACCAATTAACTGCAATTTGGAGCATGTACTGAAAGATCACTTAATTAATATGTCTGTCACTACAAGTTATTAGCATAGATAGATCAATGAACGAAGATACATTGCACTAGTCAACAGCAAATTTTAATCAGAGATGGCTTTATCATTCCAGAAAATTATTTTTGACGCTGACACAATTGATACAATTTAATAAATGCTGTGACTTTTTTTTCCTAGCACACAAGGTTTTTAACATATGTTCATTTTTTTTTTACCTTTAAGTTATGCCAAAAAAAACTTGCACAATATGGATTTTACCATGCGTTGTAATTCATAGCTACATATAATCTTTCAGAAAATAATTCCACCAGTTGATGAACCTAACCAAGTCATAATTATTACTAACTATATTACTACATTACATATTTTGTGATTGTTATCCTCTTATTGTGATGAGGAAAAAAAATGAAGTTCAGAAGCAGCGCAAAAAAAAATCTATGTAGGAAAATGATTTGCGCCTCTGTTTACCAAAAAAATGTAATAATGTCTTGACCAGTCTGATTTAAAGCAAACTATATTTTTTCATTATTATTATTATTGATAACAATAATAATAATAATTTCCAATGGCACGCAAACTCTCACAACACAATAGTGGTTGAGAATATCGCCTTCGATAGCAAACTGCCTGTATTTGAGACTGAATCAACAGTGCCTCTGCTGGTCCGAACCAAGTCATGCAACCTATTGTGTGTGTGTGTATGTGTGTGTGTGTGTGTGTGTGTGTGTGTGTGTGTGTGTATCACATTTAAATTCAGATGGAGATTTAGTCTGTCGGCTGTCCCCTGCTGTTATGGTGCAGTAATGTAAGAAGACATGGCTGGCTGCCCGGTCCACTTACACACACCTGGGGGAAAACTGCTCAGTTGACTTGCCTGTCAAACTTTTCCTCTCTGTGTCCTCTACCTACACAATTGCTGGATGCCCCCACCAATACACACACACACACACACACACACACACACACACACACGTTTAATCGCCTTATCTTGGGGCAGCAAGTTTGATACAACAAAATAATGACAGCATGGCAAGATGTAGAAATACGATGAGGAAATGAGCGCCACACAATACGTACATACAGTACGTGTTACTGTATGTACGTATCGTGTGCTTTAACCCCCTGCAAGAGTTTCTTCTTCAGCTTCAGGATACAACATCACACAATTATTTCTATACTTTTGCACACAAGCCCTTGATGCCAGAGTGCATCGCGGTGTCACGGTGCAGACAACAGCTTGTGACTCATCTGTGAAATCTTTTAATTATCAGCAACAGCGCAGAACAACAGGAAGGTAGACGGCGACATGAAAACAATTCTATTTCTACTGACTGAGCGGTGGTTGTTTTAAGACTAGATGCCGCTCGCAGTTACATTTGGAGTTTTTGGATCTATTTCTCTATTAGCCTGAATTAACCGACGTTGTATCCCGCGAAGATACAAGATGCTAAGACGTTGGGTTGAAGATAGTCATGAAAAGTAGTCGCCATTATGACAGATTTGGCATTTGGAAAATGTTTCGTATCCCAGAAAATGCAGTCAGTCAAATAAAATCTTTCACCTGGATCCTGGGAACTTACATCATCTTCTAGCGGGTTCTATTGAACTGATGTCGGAATAATTTTGGGCAATTGTTTTTAAAGCTAAAAAAAAAAGAGACAATTTGGGTGAAATCACTATGTTCTAATGAATACGGCCTGACTGGGCTACGACTTTGATCGTCAGATGATGTTGTTTTCTAAATGTGTTAAAACACAAACAAACATTTGCATGTTTGTCAAACTGAAGTAATTGGCTTCGTACTCGTCGCTAATAACATCAGTCAGTCTAACATACCCCTCTTAACAAATCCTCAACAAATACACAAGGTTGGCTGAATTAACTGTTGTGTGGGCAATTAGAAATCCTTTAAAAAGACAGAACTGAGTAATTCTATTCATTCATTTCAACAACTCTTGAAGTGGGACGTTTGTTCTTTTCATTGCAAGCTAAGATTTCCTTTTTTTTCTAAATATGACATCAAATCTCTGTCCAGGTGTACCTGTGTGGCAACAGTGCAGAGGCAAAGCAGGCTGTAGTGGAGGTTGCCAGCAAGATGGGCCTAACCGTTTTGGACAGGGGGTCACTTTCAGCTGCCCAAGAGCTGGAAGACTTCCCCCTGAGGCTGTTCCCCGAGTGGAGGCTGCCTCTCCGAGTTGCCGTGGGCCTTGCCGCCTTCTTCTATTTCTATCTGCTCATCAGAGACGTCATCTACGCTTACGTAGAGCAGGGGAAGGACATTTCCTACAGAATCATGGTGTCCCTGGCCAACAAGGTGAGCAAATGTCCGTATGAGCTTGCGAAACGTAGAATTTCTGAGGGGCGGGGGGTTTCAGAATCTGTTCAGGTTGTTTTAGAAGACGAGCATGCACGTGAGATAGATTGGACAACGCTAACCTGAGTGTTGATGTGGAAACCCAACAATTTATCCCTGAAGTTAGAACAGTTAATGTCGTGGATTTGATCAGGCTCGCTGTTCTTCCTGGAAACGAAGACAACATGCAAGTTGGGAATGGTGAAGGCCGACTTTGTTGACACAGTTGACCCCTCATAGCTAACCTGTGTTGACAGAACCATTTGCTGAAAAGCTAACCGTGGCAATATTACTTTTGCTTATTTCTGGTCTAAAGCCCTTTGAGGTATTGGACCATTAACCTTCCCCTCTTATAAGGACTGTTTTTTTACACGTTAAGGGCTCTGTTTTGTAGACAGCATACCTGTGCTGCGGCACAAATGGCACAGTGTAAACTGATTTTCATATGAGCGCTGGGCTTGCTACATGTGTTTGCCGCTTTGGTCTCCGCCAAGCTGAGTATTCCGACTCACCTCTTGCGTTTTTGGTGACGTGCCCAGTGGAACGACAATTTGGCAGCAAAAAGTCGGTCCAAACCACATCTAAATATTGGCGCAAGTGGTCAAATGCGATCATCGTGAATTTGCTGGGGCACAGGCAGGCAGATTCTGAACTCCGTGGACATGTGTGGTTGATGTCAGATGTGATTCATCAATATGTGAACAACGGTAATCATGCGCAAAGGGAGGGCACACAAATGATGCGGGGCCTCCAATTGTCCACTCCGTGGTGCAGATGTGCTTCTGCCATGTAAGAAAGTAGTACATGACTTGTGTATTGCATTTAAAGGTAATGTAAGGAACTGCTTTGATTGACCATGATTGAAATTGTCTGTGACCACCTCCACAGCGGCGCAGCCCTTCCTCAAGCCTGCCCGCCTGACATGTGCACATAGATGTGCCAAATGCTGGGACGGATTTATGCATGTCATGAAAATAACTCGGGCTACCCAGTTGTTTACGACATCAACTCAGACAAAACCTCATTTTGCCTTCAGGCTATACAGTTTACTGTTTGGGCTGTATTGGCCGAATCCTAATGACCACAGCGTATTGTTGCTTTCTCAGCAGTTAGGATAAACATGTTGGTTAATCACTGGGCCCAAGAATACGACCTCCACTCTTATTTGTGTCTCACATTTTAAAGGAGCAATCAACCCAAAAATTATCTTTACATTAATGTTCTATGGTCATTACCAATCACGGCTCAGCTTGTGAACGTCACCTGACCAGTTTAAAAAAAAAACAGGTGAGCCATGATCGATTGTTACCTGAGCCCTGAGCAACTGTGATGTCATTTTCAGTTGACAGCAAGTGACAAAATGGCCGCCACCTGAGTTGGATAAAAACAGATTTATTGATGCTTAATTCATATTCGACAAACAAAATTTTCATCAGAATGCCCTGTTTTGACAAGTGGAGGTGCAATGCCATTTCATTGAAGAATAACTTTCTTAACCACGGGCAGGAATAACAATCCTTATTCTTACTCAATTATACTGTATATGTGTGGACAGGCAGAGAGTTCACTGTGATGTGCTTCTAAAGTTTCTTGCCCTCTTTCAGGTCTTTCCCATCGTATCGCTGGTCATGTTGTCGCTGTGTTACCTGCCCGGTGTCATCGCCGCCTTCTTTCAGCTCTATAGAGGAACCAAGTACAAGTAGAGTATCAAGTCATTTGAAAAAAAAAGCTACTTGCTAATATCCAAAGTGCAGTGCTTCAAATTCCCTCTCTCTTATTGTGCAGGCGTTTCCCGAACTGGCTGGACCGCTGGATGCTGTGTCGGAAGCAAATGGGACTGGTTGCTTTGGGCTTTGCTTTTCTCCATGCCATCTATACATTCATTATTCCCATTCGCTACTCCGTCAGACATAAACTCATCTCCCGTGTGGTGGACGAGGTACAGCGCAGTGGGTTTTTAGCCACCGTACAAGCTGATCTGTACATTTATGGAACAAGAAAAATGTTCCTCAACGCTCTTGTCCTCCATCTCTCGCTCTCTTTAGATGAAGAACAACAAAACCACCCCCTTTGACTTTAATTATACAGAAGCATGGGGAACAGACTCCTTCTACGTTCTGGGCATCCTGGGCTTCTTTCTTTATGTCTTACTCGGCCTGACGTCGCTGCCCTCTGTGGGAGGCTCGCTCAGCTGGAGGGAGTTCAGCTTCATTCAGGTCAGAGCACACTTGCACATCTTTGATGGTAAAAGTGGGATAGGGTGGGGTGAGGGGGCCACATTGTTGGGGTTTTTTTACTCACAAAATGGAGAGATATGTGCATGTTTTCAGTTGACATGGACAATAGGAATATTTTATAATAATGCCTAATAGTGAGAACATTATAATCAAGCGGCTAATAAAGGCAACTCATGATCACAGAAACAGTGGCAACCTTGAGGTGGGTTTACATGTGGTGAAGCGGTTTTGAAGACATCACAGGCTCATTCGTTGCCTGGTCGTTAAATAAAAATACAGCATGGGCTTGAGGCATAAGAATCATCAAAGTATAATGACGTGCATATTAGACACAACTCATTAGAACAGAAATGGTGGGAACCTTTAGCTTGGTCACCATGTGGTGGAGTTATTTTGATGACATAAAAGATCGACTTTATTTGGACCTCATTGAAATATTTGGGAAAAAGTTCCAACTTCAGGATGCAGTATTATTGTTGAAGCATGTTTATTTTTTTTTCTTAACATTCCATATTACTGATAATGAGTTGTGTGGTGTTCACTTCGATTGTAATTATTGTTATTAAAGTAGTAGTGGTAGTAGTAGTAGTGGGGCGGCCCAGTGGTTAGCGCTTTAACCTCACAGTGCAGAGGTCGTGGGTTCGATCCTGGCTCCGGCCTCCCTATGTGGTGTTTGCATGTTCTCCCCCGGCCTGCGTGGGTTTTCTCCGGGTACTCCGATTTCCTCCCACATTCCAAAAACATGCACGGCAGGCTGATTGAACACTCTAAATTGTCCCGAGGCCTGAGTGTGAGCGCGGGTAGTTGTTCGTCTCCGAGTGCCCTGCGATTGGCTGGCAACCGGTTCAGGGTGTCCCCCACCTACTGCCCGAAGACAGCTGGGATAGGCTCCAGCACGTCCCGCGACCCTTGTGAGGATAAAGCAGATCAGACAATGGATAGATGGATGGATAGTAGTCGTAGTAGTATTTAATTTATGTGCCTTTCAAATCACCTGAACACCAAATTACAAAGGTCGCCAGAACAAAACATCTGAAACATAAAATTTGTTCATAGGATATAAGGGCATTGTCAGAATTACTGACGTACTTAATGAGGCATCTAATCTTGGACAGAGACACGCATCACCAAGACATAAAGATAGCAAAGACTGTCTTATCGTTTTTTTCAGTCTAAAAGACAATGTAGTGTCGACTGAAAATAAAGTTAGTTTTTTTAAACGCCCCAGTACCATTGTCCTTATCTTGTGCTTCCTATCAGTAAAATCTCTTTTTTTTGATACAGCATAATTATGTCAGTATTATTAAGTTTTTATCTGAGTTATTAAAGTGCTGTAAAAGCAATGCGTCGTGGGCACTTTCTTCCCAAGTGACTAGTTAAGTCACTCCCGAACACAGGCGCACACACAATGGATGACTGGTAGCTTCAGCTCAGCATTTTAAATGTTAAGTTATTCATTAAACTGAATTATGAGGGAAGATATCATCCCACGTGAGCAGATTTGCCGGTACAGGTCACGGGCACGTGTGTGAAAAGGTCGCGCGTACCGATGGACTGATGGGATAAGATATTCGGCGATGGAGGTCAAGATAATTGATCCTTTGAGTAAGGGGCACAGAGACGACACAACCGAGATCTATTTGCATAGATTATCGGTTGTGAGCACAGTTGTCAAGCAGGGAATGCATTGGATTTTAATATTCATGATGCACAAGTCTTTGCGGCTCTCGGTTGCGATTAAAAATAAAATTCTTTATTATTATCATCGGAGGATGCCACCGTATAGTAAGTGTGCTTCTGTGCAGGAGCATGTTCAAGATGCTCAATATGAAGTGATTAACAATAACCAAACAACAGGAGGACACTCGAGCGCCAACAACAATTATTCTGTAACAGCTGTGGAAAAAAAAAAAAGAAAAAAAAACCCCGAATCCTTAAGAGAATGTTTTCACCATAAAACTTAATGTGACAATTTCTATTCATGAAGTCAGCAGGGGAGTAGTTTTATCCATCGACAAAAACACATCTGATGAGCCACGCTTGCACCGTGTATTAGAGTATGTTATTTGCACAAATGTATGCCTGTGTTTTTCCCCTCTTGAGTCAGAATGGTTTAATAAACAAAAAACGGTCTCTGTGTGAACAGAAAAGTAGAATCAATGTTCTTTTTCTGAATACTGTAGCTGAATTTTTTGGGGGTTTGTCTAATTAAATGCAAATTATTATAATTTTTTTTTTTTTTTTTTTTTACAGTCCAAACTTGGCCACCTGACCCTGTTCATATGCACGGCACACGGTTACATTTACGGCTGGAATAAATTCCTCCGCGCTTCGACGTACAAGTGGTACACCCCTCCAGGCTACATGCTGTGTCTGATTGTGCCGTCCGTGGTGCTGGTTCTCAAAATGCTGCTCTTGCTGCCATGCGTGGATCGAACTCTCACCCGCATTCGACAGGGCTGGGAGAGGGCCCAGAGCATGGAGACGGGCGAGAACAAGGCCACAAACCTTTGACCATCTGACCTCTGGGGTTCACCTGAGGTCAACTCAGCGCGATCAGTACTGGAGCACACTTGAGTGAAATTTCTTCAGGAGTAATGTTGATTCGTTTTGCTCACGCATTCTCCTGATATTGCAGCGCGTCTACAGGGTAGGCAAAGCACATGACCCGATCATTTGGAGCATTTGGAGTCCAACCCTTCTAAAAGCGAAATTCAGCCGAATGTACAGGGCGTCGAGGATATGAAGTTTTCTTTTTCTTAGCTTTGAGGGATTTTATGTGCTTGTTGTTAGCTCTTTCACCAAATGTGTCAAAAAATAGAACGATATTCCCGGACGACACATATTCTTTTGATAAACAGAGGCAATCATTTCCATTCCCCCCCTTCAAAATGGAGCCGCTTCGAAGCGGCATCGTTCTCATTGCCCAAATCGTCCTCCCTCTCAAGGGCACTGCACACACAAAATTAGAATAAAGTGGTCGCCCCAGTGTGATGCTCTCCCTCAGCTGCTTTGATTAAACACACTTCACCCGGTATAAATTGGTGCAACGAGGAGAGACAGGTTTAGCGCACAGAGCGTAAAAACATTACCCTGTGTGGTTATACGAATCAGTGTCGTCGTAGTGAAGTGTTTTAGAAGTGCTGTCCCTGTCGTCTTCTCGCCATCGCGTCATAAATCTGTCTGCGCAACACATCATTATTCAATGTGATGGAACCCAAATAGTCATGTGTGTTCTATCTTCCAGAAACCCATTTACACATCATGCTGTTAAAAAAAAAAAAAAAAAAAAAAAACCTCAAGAAAATCTGTTCTTTGCCAATGCCATACTCCTCCAAATTAATCAGCTGGTTGGATGCAGCGAATCGGAAACAGCGTCAAAATATTTGAACAATCTTAAGATATGGTGACACCATTGCACTGCATTCTTCTTAGTGACATGTTTGTGTAGATCAGGGATGGGCAAACTAAATGCTTAGGGGGGGGGGTCACAATTTTTCATCAGTGCTACGTAGGACCATGCACTTCCAAACTTGATGTATTACAAAAGGCAATTTTTTTAATAGGACATAATACGTGCATATGTGCAAAACACGTGCCTTTAATATATTTCATTTTGATCATACTTTTTTTAATGGATGTATGAAAGATTCACTATACTAACACAAAAATAAAGTGCAAAGGGCTCTCTTGCATTCAAAAAAAAAAAAAAATCACCATTCAAGAATGGCACAAAAACCGGTGAATAGCAAACCACCATTAAGTGCAAGAACTTATTTTTGCACAAAAATCAACTTGAATCTTATTGAAGTACTATATTTGTCCTGCATATCATTCCAAATATGCAAAAAAATGGGCAGAATCACATTGTGCAGTTTAAGAGTCAGTGTAAGAGATGTCTGCCATCTGGTGGTTATTGGTGATATTACAACTTAAAACTCTAATCAACCCCTGCATATTTGGAGTTTGATTTGCATATTCACATCTTTTTCTTTTTTTTCTGTGATTTGACCTCCCTTTTTTTTTAATTTTATTTTTTTTATAACCAACTCTGCTCTAGATGATGGTGTAAATTAACAGGACCCAGGTGAAAGACTGTATTTGAAATATTGTATTTTCCAGATAAATGACACATTTGGTCTCGATTATCTCGCTATTTCATGACATCATGTCAAAACGTGGGATTGTTGTCAATGAATTTTGAACTTGCATAACATTCCGCATTCCTACAGCTGACACGCGCGTCATCCCAAGTGGACTGATAAGGCGAATCTACTTTCAAGGAACTGTTATGTTAAGCTCTGCGTAGTAAAAAGGGCTGATAAGAGCAGACGAGTGGGATCAGCGGGCGGTTTGATCAAGCGTCCGGTGAGTGTGCTTCGATCAGCAGCGACAGCTGGCGGGCAGGTGAGGAGTGACAGGAAAAGGAAGTTTAATCAGATAACAGAAGCAGAGGTGGCAAGTGAGGAAACGGAGCATCTGTCATTATCAGATTCTCGCTCGCCCCCGAGCAGAACACTGATGCAAGAAAAAACTTTGTTATCCATCTTCTAATAACATTATCTCCTCGCACAATCTGTAATCTTTCATCCGCCCTCTCCCACTCTTGTATTATCCTCATTTCACCAGAGAACTGATGTTGATTTTAAGCTTTTTTACACTCCATGTTTGTGTGAGTGTGGGTGTGTGCCGAGATTTAAACGAGATTCAAATATTGCCCTGGGAAGCGATGAATCTAATAATGCCCAGAGAAACTGTGAAACAAGCTGGCTTACATATTGTAATTTCCACTCATGTTGAAATTTCACACACCTAGACAACTCTGATACGCATAACGTGATTAGGGCCCGCTAGGAAAAAGTAAATAAACTGCTGCATTGTGGGTAAAGATACATGTTATGTACTGTAATGAGGAATTCACCCGGGACTCATCTGTGAAATGTATGAAAATTTAATAAAAGACAGAAAATACAACAACCTTGATTTTTTTTTTAACACCCTCCGTCTCATCCTTAACAATTTACTAAAATCTATTTTTCGAATCACAAGAGGCCTGAGTGAATTTATTAGAACACATTAAAGGAGAAAGCTGTTGCTGACAGCATGTTGTGCCTTAAGGCAGCTGCAAGAATCAACATTTAGTCCTATTTTGGTGTTATTGTTGTTGTTATGACTTTTGGCTTGTTCTGCCAGGGGCCACCGCAGCAAGTCACTCGCATTATTTGTTTCACAGTTTGTACGCTGGATGCTCTTTTGAACCCAACCCACCCACTTTTTCATCCAGGCAATGGATGGTTATTGGGGCACTGACCAGGACTCGAACCTGCGACATGACCAATGCCACAACAGCCTCTCATGCAAATCAAACAAAAAAGCAAATGAAAGCAACTGAAAATCTAACACATGGAGTTAGCGAGATAGCTCCAGCTAAGTCTACCCGAATAAACTTTCACGCGGTGTGTGGGTTGAGGGAACTAGTTTTCATTAGCGGCCGGCACGTAGTTTTGCTGCCATTCAAAAATTCACTTGCCAGGGAAGAGTTTAAAAAAGTTGCAGCTGTAACAGCCAACCAACATGCAATGAGCATTCACAGAAGTAACAAAACAAAACAAAAATGTTTCAAGGTGCCAAGCATAAGCCAGGCCGAGCTGGTCGACGGCTGTTGCGGTGCCACCAAGACTTGCCACTATATTCGATACTGTATACATTTTGTTTTACAATAGTCCTCCACCATATTTACATTTTCAGATGCACCAAAGGCTGGACAGCAAAGCAGAGAGTCTCTATCGCTGAAATGCACGGGTGGAATCAATAAATTGGGTGAATGATGTTCGCCACCAGCCTCAAAATAGCCATACGTCCTCATTTATTTGAACCCATTTCCTCTCTGCATCATCCTTGATCATCACACCCTGTTTCTATGGTTCGGTAAAACTATAAGGTCGACTTTTTTCGTTGCAGTGCATCGGTCAGTGTGAGGTACTTCAATGCGTTGTGTGTGGTCATAAAATAAATGTAACTCGGGATTTTATTCTCATAAATAGTGATGAAAAATAGCATCGTTACAGAAAAGTCATAGAGAAACAAATGTGGAAAAAAAAAACATCATGGATCTGACATTAGAGAATTAACCCTAAAAAATATACACGCGGTACATGCGGGTTTTTTTCAGTTCATGTATAAAACTACATCACACAAAGTTTAACATACTGTTAGCTACTGGTAGCTTGCTAACAATGCTGCCATGAAGTCAGATGATAACAATGCTTAAAAAAATAAAATAAAATAAAAACTCACTGCTCCTTTAGAGAACCAAGGTAATAGCTAGAATTTCAATTTCCTCCAACAGAACAATGCCCAACATTAAATGTCAATATTCTATGTTTCCTCGGGTCATCAATATTTCCATCCTTTGCTCTAGTTTGATGCCTGTTTGATATTTCCCACAGGTGTACTCTATGTGCGTGTCTAACTTATGCTATTGATGAATTCATGCATGTAAGAGCTAAATGCTACGCCTGCTGTGCATATATATTGAAGTTTGATTTCCAACTCAACCGCCGATGTCTCTCCCGCTCCTCTGCTTCCGTTTCTCTACTTCCCAAGAACCTACTCCGTCTATAGCCTACTCTCACAAGTAATATAAAATTTCCTGGGGTCCTTTGATAGCGCACTTGACACGCTTCTCTCGCCGCGATCGGATAAGATGTTGTAAAAATGAGTGGGGAGAAGAAGTCGACGACTCTGAGCAAATGTTTCCCACACAAAGACTTCAGATGAACTCTGGAGACGGATCAGACGCACACGAGACTCTTCGGGGAGGTTTCGTGAGTTCACGGACAGGATTCTGTGGAGTCATCTTAATAAGGCAGACACATCTCTGCAGTTCTATCACTATAGTGTATTTTAATTGCAAGTACATTTCACTGGTTGGTTCAATTCATATGCGAACACTAGAAGGACAAAGTTAAATCTGAGAGCATAAATGCATAGACCCGAATAGAAATGGGTAAATCACCATGATTGCAAGACATATGAAAACAGAAGCAGAAATAAAAAGATAAATTGGTCGACCAAGGTGCTTCCCAAACATTACCAGTACTGTAGTAGACATCTTGCTCAATAAATATTGTTTGGCTCAATCGCGAATGAGAGTGTAGGATATAAACATGTGGGTGCTCTGTACAAAAATTTTAAAAAATGCTGTTTATGTACATTTGAAACTCAGCTCATCAGCTATAGATAATAAAAAAAGTATTTGTCTCCATTATAGCTTGGCTGAGTCCCAATCTATTGTTCCCTCCATCTTGCGAAAATCTTTCTTTTCACTACAGAGCACAAAGACATTTTTTAGGGTAAGGGAGGAGTGGTGGGGGGGGTGGTATAAACACTTTTGCAACTACAGGTATTCCGCAGATTAACCTTTTGCCTTCTCTGTACTTCCATGGTAAATGTTTGAGAGGAGCCAGAACACACCAAATTGACCAAGTCCGACGTGCTCACCCATCCCCTGCCGCTCTCACTTTAATTCGGTTACACAAAGCAGTGAATCAGAAATAGCAAAAGATTGTGAAACTCTGTGAGTTGGGCAAAGAGAAATACTGCACCGCTGTGGTATAGAAGCTTGAAAATGTGGTTTTAAATCACATTGAAAAAAAGAATTTCACATTTTCTTTTATTTTTATTTTTGGCCAGGTAGCCCTACGGGGCTGCACATATTGCACAGACCAGAAACCACCACTGGATAGAAGGCAATGTACTGTAGATCAATGCAATCAATGTCTTGTTTTTTTTCCACCACCACTTGTTGCAAGACAGAAATCATCAAGTAAAGCCAATACTAAAAAAATGAATGCGAATAAAAAAACACCATACACCTTTTACGCTCGTTACAATGGTGACTAGCATCGGGGTCCACTGCCACACAAAGCAGAAAAAAGGACATGGAGAGTCAGCAGGAACATTATTGTACAAAGTTGGACTTTGGAACAATTAATGAAATAAAAAAAATAGATCATTTTTATTTATACACACAAATTTCACAATTGAATCACTACTCGGTTAAAAAAAAAATGGGAAAAGGTCACCCAAGTGCCACCTGTGGGAACTAGTGGGGCACTGCCCCACCTACGCCGAAAACAAAGTTGCAGAGGCTTAATCTGTTTTCACTGTTATGCTCGTTAATTCCAACAAACTTCTGTATATTTTCTGGCACACTCTTCCTATGTAAGAAGTGTTTTCTCCTCATCAGGTTGCGTCCTCTCCCAGCCCCGTCGAATTCGAGTGACGCTGCGGTCCACGCACGGCACGAGGAGCAGCACCTTGAGCACCAGCACCACTGAGGGCACCACCAGACTGAGCATGAAGCCCGGAGGTGTGTACCACTTATACGTGGAGGGTCGCAGAAACCTGTCCCAGCCGTACAGGTAAGTGTGAAGGGTACAGAGGAACAAGGTCACGTGGCCCAGCTTCGACTGGAGAACAAGAAAGTCAATCATCACACACACAGAAACATATTCATGGGCTATGCGCTACGATGTTAAGCACCAGGCTGTTAACCTTTGATATTATGGAGGTACATTTACATACAGTGCATAACCACACACACACACACACGCACACACACGCACACACACGCACACACACGCACACACACACACACACACACACACGCACACACACG